CACGCAAGTGGTGTGCACAACACGCTGCCCTCAGAGGAAAAGGGTGTTACTGCATCCGACTAAGGCTGGCGGACGACATTTTGAACGTGGCGACGGATGGTGGGGAGCCCCTGGAAACGTCATCACTACAGACTGAGCATCCCAAATCACGTTTGGCAAAAGTGAACTTAACTCATCATCCCTAATTACAGAATGGATGCACCAACCATGCCACAGACCCTCCAGAGGGAGAGATGAGTCACTCATTCCCAGAGGACCTTCTAAGGAAGAGATCAGGGAGATGAGACAGTACTTTCTACATCCGTTTGCTGAAATGCTGTTGCTTAAGTTGTAAGATTAGAAAGAGATCTCTAAGAAACATGGTAACGAGAGTGGTATTTCTGAGCTAAGAACATGAGCGTTCCATCGAAAACCCTTTCCCACCACTCCTGAGAGCACACTGTCCCTGCACCTGGGCTGCCGTCCCCTTGTACACCAGCCCCACCTCACTCCTACTCAGTGTCCTGCTCGACATCAGCACCCCTTCCTCCAGGAAGCCTTCCCAGCCACCCCTCAACCGTTTGTGCCGGGTTTCTTCCGGCGTGCTTTCCATGCCCCTCACTGTGCATGCCAGTTGTATGTTTGTGCACCTTTACTCCACACCAACACAGAAGTGCCGCCTTCGCTCACTGTCTCACCTCCTGGCAGGGCCTGGCACCAGCCCAACGCTCAGGGAACATGTGAGGAATGAATTCGTAAACACTCTGGATGCCAAGAACCCAGCAAATTTCTCCATCTACCCTTCTTCTGCGGCCTTCACACTTGACAGTGGACTTGACAGTGCTGGTCACAACTTACCGAAGGCTGCACAGAGTGCAAGGGGGAGAGGAACGGAACTGGTTCTTAACCTTCAGTCACCATTGCAAGCAGAGCCATGGAGTCAGGCAGATGCAGAGCCCACCAAGTGACTCTGATCTTGTACTCAGTTTGCTTATCCGTAAAATGCAGACAAAACCTCCCACAAAAGTACCATGAGGACTCAAGTACCCTCACTTCCAAACACACGGGCTCAGTAACTCTGCCTTCCATTGCTTCTTCCCCTGGGAAGCACACTGCTCCTTCGTGCTCCTGAGGACACAGGCTCCTTTCCTGGGTGGGATGAGGTCACCCTTTTCTACCAGGAGGGGAGGAGCAGTACAGGTACCCCAACAACCTGAGAGGACTCGAGTTGGTCCCTCTCCTGGAGTACAGGCCACCCTTAAAAGGAAGTCAAATGCCTCTTGACCCAGGGCTGCCTGGGTTCTGGGAAGAGCAGGAGCAAAGCCTCACGAGTCCCAGGACCGTGGCCTTTCATCACAGAGCAGGCTGCAGGCTGTGCCATCTCCAGCAGCAAGCGCTCCGTCCACCCACTCCCCAGGCAGCAGTGGGAACAGCACATGCAGGTGGATGGATTAAACTGGAGTCACCGAGGGGCAGAGCCCGACCCTCTTCGGAGTGGCCATACCTGGCCACCAAGAAGGCTTCTTCAGGAGTGGGCACAGCCTGAGGTACGCTGGGGATGGCTCCTCATGGGGGAAGGCAAGAGGCAGGAGACTGGTTGAGCTCAGGACTCCTGGAAGGGACAGGGCACTGAGGAGACAGCCTGGGTCCACAGGGACAGCACCTGTGGCTGAGGTCTGCAAGGCGCTTTCCAGTGCTGCCAGGTAAGGTTCAGCCACCTCTGCTTCCTCCGGCAGAACGATCTGTGAGCACTGGGACGCCCTCCCCAGAGGTAGAGCATGTGTCTGACCTGATCTAGGCAAGGCCAGAGACATTTGGACAGAGGAAAGGAAGTACCTCCCTGCGTCCCCACAAACACTGGGCTCCCCAGCACTCACCACCAGTTAGTGGGGACAGCAGGCGCAGAGCCAGAGATGACTTCCGACCTCTGGTTTTCCAGTCCCACCGCAGGCCAGCAAGATGCCCCGTCAGGCTGGAGCCCGGCTGCGGGAGACACCCATCATCCTCATCACGCCTAGCTCCTGTGCTGGGTCGGGGCGGGGGGGGTCCCCTGTTCACGCAGGCACTCCTGGAGCACCGCAGAGCAAGTTCTCCAAGTATCATTATTTACTGGGTGAATATTTTACGAATGAATAAAGAATGTGTGAGCTAGGAGCATAGAGAAATATGAATTTAAGAAAAAAGGTCAATAACGAGGATGCCTGAAGCCCAAGACTAATTTGTGATCATTTGTGAGACTGCCAACATCATTCAGCCTTCCACCGATGCGAACAATCCAGCTAAGAACAAGTTTAACGATTTATATTTTGTAACAACCCGTTTCATGTCAGTGTCATAAGACGACCAGATTTATGTCCTCTGGGATCTCAGACCACATCAAAACACCTGGACAATGACAGGTGGAGAGCAGACAGCTTCCTTCACGATTTGGAGAACAGCACAGGGCCCAGGCAGCTGTGGGTGGTGGAGACCCCAGGGGCTGCACGTGCGCCCTACAAAGGAGCCAGTCCTATGCCAGGCACCAGACCCTGGGTTTGCCTCCGTGGCCCATATGCAGGAGCACAGGAGCCCCCATACAGCAAGTCCTCTGCAGGGGCCTAGACAAGGAGATCTCCAGGGGGAATGCCCCCAAGTCACCGGGCCTCAAGCTTCCGGCTATCAGCCCCAGCGGTCCTGCACTAGGGGCCACAGGGCCTGACCCTGCATTCACAGGCATCATTAACAATAAGCACATTAAATGGCAACACTCTGAAGCAATCTCGGAGTGGATTAGCACAGAAATGAATAAAGTGGTGTATTCATGCAACAAAATATAAATAGCAGTCGAAAGGAGAGAACTAGATTTATATTTATCTCCAAAGCATAATGCTGATTTAAAGTTATAAAAAGACATATTTTAAAAAAGACATATGTGATATAGAACCGCTTGTCATAAAAAACTCTGAAAATAATGTTTGGTTGTAGATATAAATACAGTAAAAGTAGCAAAACATGGTATGAATGATTCCATCGCCTCCAAGACCGCAATCCCCCCGAGGAGGGAGGAGAGCGGCAGGAAGATGGTGAGACAGGAAGGAGGGCTGAGCTATTCTTCCACTTATTTTTTCCAACATCGTTTTTTCCCAGCGCTTTCTTATGAAAAATGTCAAAGACAATGTTGAAAGAATTCTTCCGTGAACACCCTCTATGCCCCTTGCAAGAGTCCGCACCATTAACACTATACTCTGTGCCTTATCATCTCTCCACTTAGAGTCTCTCCACTTCCCATCCCTCCCTCGTCTGTCATTCATCTTAGTTTTCAGGCATTCCAGAGGCCACTGCCGAGACCATGCAGTCCTCCCAAAGCCTCCAGTGGCATAGCTGCACTTAGAGATCAACATTTGTGCAGTTTTCCTTTGCATGTAAAACTGACTTACAACAAAATGCACAAATCAAGTGCACATGTGAATTTTAACAAATGCAAACACACGTGCAGCCCACACGCACATATCAGGTTGTACCCCAAGACCTTACCTGGAAAAGCCCCATGCCACTTCCTGTTCAAACCCCAACCCAAGCTCTCCAGAGGCAGAGCTTTCCAACAGTAGACTAGTTTGCTCCTTCTGGGACTTCAGGTGAATGGAGTCCCACGGTACCTGCTTTTCCCAGGGAGGCCCCCTTCACTCAGGGTTCCGTTCCTGGAAGTCACCCTACTGATGTATTAGGAATGCACTAGGTTTGGGTGCTGAGTATCATTCCATTTGCAGGAAAAATGCCACCCTGTGTTTATCGGCTCTCCCGTAATGGACATCTGGGCTCTAGTTTTTGGCTATGAGCGTTCTTGTGTAGGTCTTCTTGTGAACAAACACTTAAACTTTTTCTGAATAAATTACCGGAGTTGGAACTGCTGGGCACCGAGTAGGTGTATGTTTAGTTTTGTAAGAAACCGCAGACCCTCTTCAAAGCGGCCGCACGTGTTCACATTCCCGCCAAGGCATGTGAGTTCCGGCTACTGGACCTTCACACCCACACTCGAAACTGGAGGGTCTCTTACTTCAATTGTTCTGGTGAGTGTGGAGTGAGTATACATTTCCCCCACTGACTCTGTTAATGTTAGCTATTTTTTAACATTTTATTTCCTTAAAATAAGAGAAAGACACAGACAATACAGAGAAGGGAAGGAGGGAGAAAGACAGGAAGAGACACAGAGAGATCCAGGGCAAATAAAAGCTAACAAAGTGCTTACGTCTGGGATATATGTGCCTGGTTTCTAAAGTGTTTTCTCCATGTGGGAAGTATTTTGCAACTAAAAATAAAAATTGTATTCCACCTCCATCTTATCCCAACGATAATTCCGTCTATACAGGCATGCCCCCAACATCCAAGCTGGGCTTAGAGACACAGCGGTGGATCTGGGGAGAGACCAGGCAGACAGGGGGTGCCTGGGGAAGGGGTCCCCAGAGCAGAAGAGCGTCTTCCCAAAGTCAGGGAACTCTACCCGCCTCGGGACATGCCCACGTGGCCTGGCCTCACTCCTGGTCAGCCCTCACTTCCCACTCAGCTCCTGCGAGGCCTGGCCCATGGCTGACTCTGTGCCAGGGCCTGGCAGAGCCACCTTTTTGCCCTCTGGGGAATGGGCTTGGGTGGCGCTGCCCCTCTCCCAGAAGTCTGAGCCATGCCTGCCTGTTTGTGGAATTCCTTCAAGGGACTTCCTATTGATACTGACAGAGGCTCCACAATCAAGGCCAACACTTCCCAGATAACAGCTTTAAGAACTGAAAAGTGAAGTCTTGCCCAGGTGCCTCAGGGTCCTGGGGGCGGGGGGGGGCTGGAGGCCGGCGCCCTGGCTTCCTTAGAATGGATGCCACTCGGTTTCGCCCTGACTTCACACTTGCCTCCAAGTTGAAGCCACTTCAGAATCTTTCACGGAACCTGAATCACGAGCAGGGTTCCTGTGAGGGGGAGCCAAGCCGGCCCTCCCTCTGGGATCTCAGAGGGAGGCTTCTCCCAGCGTCCCCCAGGTAGGAGGTGGGGACACTCACCGCTGGTACTCGCCGGCATGCAGGATAAGCTCCTCGTTGCCGCGGGCACGGACGGTCAGCTCGTGCTCCGTGGAGTTGAAGACATCCAGGAGTAGGTGGCACTGCCGGCTGCTGCACAGAGGACAAGAGAAAGCTGAGGATCGTCTGGAAGCCAAACGAGAGCAACTTAGATGTGTTCTCCTCCCAAAAGACCTCCCACTGCTTGAGGATGTCAGAGGTGCAATTTATCACAACGGCACATGCCCCAGACATAAGGATCACACGCACTCACTCTGAGCTAACTGAACTCCGCAAAATGGGTTTGGGCAGCAGATCCTCCCTGGTCCTGGTGACACATGCATCCAGCCCAGCGTGCCCCTGACAAACCAAGTGGCCCTGGGAAGGTAACCAGAGTTCTCCAAGCCTCGTGTACGTGAGGACTAGAAACCCGATCCAGAAGTAAGACCACCAGGGGGAAAGCACGCGGCACATGGTGCCGATCACCAAACACTGCATCGGAGTCATGACCCCAGCAGCAGGTACCTGCTGCCTTCTGCAGGTATGGAGCAAGGTGCCGGGCACTGGCACGTGGAGAACCATATCCCAGGTATGTGTGCGCACCCGCTGTGAGCCTTACACAGACTACACCTTCCTTCTCTTACGAGCTGTGAAGATACTGCAGGTTCACTCACTCCCACCCTCCTGAAACCTCCACTCCACCACACATCTCTGGTCCAGAAGGTACACACTAACATACTCAAGCTCCCAGTGCCCCCTGCCACAGGGAGGTCCCCAAAACAAAGTTCTAGCCAATAAGGATAGGCTTCTGGAGGCTTTTTATCCCAAGAAGACCTGTCCCCGAGGGAAGAAGGCGTTCACCCCTCAGGTTCCCCATTTCCTCCCTGCCCACCCTGCCCGGAGACGAACAGGATGCCGAGCAGCTCAGCACCCATTTGGAGGCACGGAGGCTATGGATCCGAATGGGGCCAGGAGGGGTCTGGGACGCCGTGACATCTTCAGTAGCTGAAGTGGCCCCTCAGAGCCTCTGGCCCTCTGGACTCATCAACTACACATGCAGAACAAACCCCAACCACACACACATTGTCCGTGCTAATCCCCATTTGATAGACTCCTGTTACAGTTGGAAGGTTGCCTAAAGCTCAGCCAGTGTCTTAAATACCACGTACCCCAGCGGGCACAAGGCAAGGAATCAGTAACTGTGTGTTGATCTGGATGGGACAGCCGTACCCATGACCAGAGCAGACAGAGAAGTCAGCAACGGACGCAGAAGCCATTCTGGAGCGGGGAGAGTACTTTCTCACAGGGAAAAGAAAGACTCAGAAAAGGATCTGTGCACTGGGTCTCCTTCAGCTTACTGTGTCTTCAGAACATGACCCTCCCAAGGGCATCTCAATTCTCAAATTTACTTCTCAAGGCTTTGCCGGTAGCAAAGGAAGGGAGGAGGGCAAACAGCCCCATGTGCTGGGGCTGCTGGCGCTTCATTTCATCTCGATGCCCTCGAGGCTGTCCTCCCCAGACCCGCGCACAGGTAAGGAAAGTGATGCTCAGCACATGGCCACAGTGCCAGTAAGGTGACCGACACCGCAGACACAGAGCTCAAAATCCTGTGCTTTTCGTGTAGATGGAAACAAATATCCCAAACCTTGCTGTCTGCTCTTTCCAGGGAAGGGAACTGAGGCAGAGAAGCGAGCAGTGCCCTGGCAGTGCACACACACACACGAGCACATGCCCATCATCACCATCAGAGGCCACGGGGCATCTGTAAACACCGATTGTTCAAGACGTGAACACATAACCCACGTGCAGGGGAGGAAGGTAGCGCAGCAGCTCTCTTGTTTCTGCTGTTCATTGCTGCGAGGTGTTGCATCACACATCCTCAGAAAAGCCGGCTCACGCTGGTTGATTCTAGGTTCTTTGGGTGGGAGTGTTTCCCCCAGAGGTTCAGCACTTGGAAAATATTCATTAGCTCTGACAGCTGCATACAAGAGGCCTCTTCACTCAGCTCACAGAAAAATGAGCTTTCAAGAATGAAGATCTATTCTGCCTTTGTCATAACTTCATGAAATCTTTAATCACAGCAAAATCTTTCATTGGGAATGGGAATTCGTAAAACATTTATCAGAGGAGGAAAACTGAAGTGATTTTTAAAAGCAGGGAAGAAAAGACTCAAATATATGTTGTTTTCACTCACAGAACGTAGCAGCTAGAAAACTGCATGGGAATGAGCAACAGAACATCACACTTTTTTGTCCTCTATTTCTTCTGACTCACTGGGTGTGGGGGCCTCCTCATCCAGTGTTTCTGCTCCTCCTAATTGTTGGCATCACAATGTACTGGAAGATCTCTGCTTTCTATCCATCGCTCATAAATTAATTCCCTTTCCTAAACTCCAAAAGGAGCATTTTGTACCCACCATAATGTCCTTTACTCTGTGTATCTTTCTGCATCACTTTGGATGATCTTCTTAAGTTTTATACTCCATCTGAGCTTACAGTTACTTTTAATTCTAGCTTACTGTTTTGTTTTGTCTTTTTTTTTTTTCCTGGTTCCATCCTTCTGAAGTATAGGGAAACCCAGGAAAGCTTCCTGGAAGAACTAGATTGGAGCAAGTCTTAGAAGGACAGGCCCACCTGCCTGGGAAGGGGACGATGATGTCCAGGCAAAGAGAGTGGTGCATGTGAACCCACCTCAATCGAGTATGTGTGCATGGTCTCCTCTGTTGAGAATTAGGAACTGTGTTAGTTCCTCTAACAAACACAACATCTACTGAGTACCTGCTGTGTGCCACGTACTGTTCCAGGCTCTGGGAATACGGAAGGGCACAAGAAAAATGGATCGTCACTTTCATGGAAATCACACTCTTGTGACGAGAGAAGCCTGGGAAAGATGAGGTGAGTTTACAAAATAAAATGTTTAGTCACTTTGTAAAGTGAGGAAAAATACATTCTAAAGGTTGTTAAATAGCAGGTAAAGACACATCCATACAGCTAATAACATTCTTATATATCAACTAAAAGCAGTTATAAAAGAATTTTTTAATAAAGTATATTTATAATAGCAATGCATTTAGGAATAAATCTTTTTAAAAATGTTTGCAGAATGTTTACGGAGTATAGTTTTAAAGTTTTTGGTGATGGTATTAAAGACAATGAATACACAACAGAAATGTATTATGCTCAAGGATGGGAAGACAATATGTTTAAATAAGTCACCTCTTTTGAAATGTCTATAAAGTCAATGAAACTCAATACCAAATCCCAACAGTTTCAGTCAAAAAGTTAACACACTTGATTCTAAAATTTATATGTAAGACCAAAGGGCCAAGAACATACAGAACAATGGTCAAGAAGATGTTTGGAAAGGACTTGGCCAACCAGATATCAAGAGCTGTTATAAAACTGTAGTAATGAAGGCACTGCTGGGGGCAAGGATATAAAAATACATGGAAAAAAACAGCCTAAAAATGGATCCATGATTATAAGGCAACTAGATATATGACTGAAGTAGCAGTACTGGTCAATGAGAAGATTCAATAAATAGTGCTGGTACACATGGTTAGGCAGACACACAGAGACATGATATCCCTACCTCACACCAAAACAAAAATAAATTTCAAGTAGATTGAATACCTAAATGTTAAACAAAATAAATTTCAAATAGAGCATATAACTAAATGTCTAAATCCTTTAGAAGAAAATATAGGTAAATCTAAATCCAAACATATCAAGAATTACATTAAATAGAAATGGCCTAAACATAATAGAGACTGTCAGAAAAGACTAAGAAAACAAGATTGAACCATATGTTACCTAGAATAAATCCACTTTAAATATAATGATATAGATAGGCTAAAAGTACAAGAACAGAAAAAATATGCCAAACTAATTATAAAAAAAAACATTATATTATTATATTATATTAGTATTAGATATTAGTATTAGATTAGTATTAGATACTTCAGGGTATACTTTCAGAGCAGGGAAAATAAGCAGAAATAAAGAGGTAAGTCATATAATAATAAAACCATTAATTCACCAAGAATACATAATAATTCTTAACATAAATCCACCTAGCCTGTTACAGAAGCTTCAAAAATACAAGAAAAAACTGAGAGAACTGAAAGGAGAAATGCACACAATCAGAGTTGAAGACTTCACTCCTCTCTTAGCAATTTGACATAGCAAGTAGACACAAAGCAGCAAGGATATAGAAGAAACAACCCCATCAACCACCTGGATCTGACTGACACTGAGAGAACACTCCATCCAACAGCAACAGAACACAGATACTTCTCAAGCATTCAGCAACATTCACCAGGAGATAGACCATATTCTAGGCCATGAAAAAAATTCCTAATGAAAACTATGTTCACAAAAGCACTATACAAAGGTATTTATAGCAGCTCTACTCATAATTACAAAAAGCTAGGAGCAATCCAAAATGTCCTTCAGCTCGTGAGAGAATTCACAAACTAGGGTACACCTATACAGTGGAAATCTCCTCAGCAATAAAAAAAAAAATCAAACTATTGATATATTCAACAATATGGGATAGATCTCAAAATCAATGAGGTCAGTGAAAAACCTCACTTTCAAAAGTTTATATATAGCATGATTCCATTTATATAACATTCTGGGAAAGTCAAGACCGAGATGGAGAACAGATCAGTGGTCACCTGTTGAGGGGTGGGGCAGGGTAAGATTATAAGGGGTAGTATAAGGAACAAATTTTTCGGGGGGGTGATAGAACTGTTTTTTATCCTGATTGTGGTAAATACATAAATCTGCAAATGACTTAGAACCCATAAAACTGTACACCAGAAAGCCAATTTTATTGTATGTCAATTTAAATTTTTTTAATTGATGCAATTAAAAAATTAACATCATGATGAGTCTGATGAGCCTTAGTGCATAAAATTTGTTGTGAATACAAGTTTTGTAGCTTGAAGGCTGTAACGTCTTAAGCAAGTCATTTAATTTCTCTGAGCCTCAGTTTCCCCAAGGGTGACAAGAATGCCTTTATCATAAATTATGAGGGGGCTCTAATGGAAAAATAGGTGAAAGTGCCTTGTTAAACTACAAGGAGGAAAAAAACTCAAGCAGAGTATTACA